CCGACAACCCAATAGTAGAATGTCACTGGTGGTATGGACATCTTTATTCACAACTAATTATTTTTAAAAGTCTTTAAAAGACTTTTTTGTAGTAGTCAACTATACTTTATGGAGTTTGGTTAAAATATTGCAAAAGAAGGCCCAATAATATAATAATCCACAGAAGACACAGATGGGTTGTACAATGTTCACAATCATCAATGGTGTTGCAATGATGAGATGCCATGACAAGTTTCATGTTTCTGATTTTTGATTCAATAAAAATGTGCTTAACAAAATAACATTAAGAGTCCCATTTCAACTTAATAACTCTATTATTAAAATTTGTTTTCATATTGCAAAGACATGTCCCCATAAAAGAAATACAATTACAATATGATAATTAAATTTTTAAAATTTAGAGTAAAAACTAACAAAAACAAGAAAACTCTGTAGCAATGTTTAAAAAATAAAATACTCTTAAAAATTATAAATGTAAAACATTAAAAATTAAAGTCATTAAACCTTCTTGATAAAAATCTAAGACAAGAGTTGGATGATGTCTTTCTTAACCATTCACAAAGTGTTGTCAGAAGAGTCACCTTTTAGTCTTTACAAACTCCTGTTACTCCTCCAGTTTATATTAGTTCTCCCTTATTCAGCAGATTAATAAAATGAGTAGATCAACTTATGACATTATAAGGCAAATTCTAATTAAAATAATTCAAATGTTCCAGGAATTTTCAGAACTGTACTTAATTTGCTGCCATTTTAAAAAGGTTTTTCAGAATTATCTAATTTCTAATCTTTTTTCTCACAAGTCTAACAAAAAAAGCTCTTCCTTATTATTAGGCTCATTAATTTCTGCTTGAGCATTCCTTTCTCTGTTTTTATTTTTCCCAATTTATAAAATACTCCTTTATCATTATTGTACTTACTCTCCTTGCTTTGTACTTTATAAATGTGTGTTTTATGTTCTATCAATATTTATATAATACTGATATTTTCAAATTGGTTTGATAAAAACAAAGATTGTTATGCATAAAGAAGCAGAAGTATATGGATTATCTCTTATGTGAGGAAACATCTTAGGTTGTTTAACACAAGCAAAAATATCTATCATTGGGTTGTACAATTATAATGAAGTAATACCTAAGTCTTAATTAAACTGAATTTTGTGAATCTTTTTTACTTTCTCTCTACCCACGTATTGTTGTTTTTTTAAACCATCTGGAATGAGACAGCCAATGAAACCATCCTAGAAATAAATGTAACTAAAGTCTAGAAATTTTTTGTGGGTTTATTAAATAAAATTAAATATAATTCTAAATAAACAGATGAAATGCTGATGTGGGAAAGGAAGGAAGGAAGAAAGAGAAATAAGAAGGAATCTTTTATTAATAAAATACATTTCTGGCCTGATCAAAGAAAAATAAGGCACAGAAAATTCTTTCAGTTTTTAGCTATTTTCTAGGCAAGTTTAAGCGTAGTGTATCACTTGATCTCAAGCACTATATTTCATCAATAATTATGGATTACTACAGAAGCGAGGATAGAGTGTGCTGTTAAGGAGTCACGGTGCTGTGGTCAGTGAATCTGAATTGGAAGACTGTCATTTACTGATCACAGCCTTCATCTGTAGAAACAGGATTAATAAAAGCAACTGTTTCAAGTGAGATAATGCACGTCAACAGCTTAGCAAAATTTCTGATACTCAGAAAATATATTGAAAATGTTAGATGCCTTATTATTATTATGTCCACTGTAAGTAAAGCATTTTGTTCGTACTTCATGTAGAACTGATCATATTATTGCTCTACTTGAAACTTCATTGGCTTCTCACTGCTTTTAGAATTCCAAATTCTTTGACATAACTAATGAGGTACTGCAATAATCATCTCTCATCATTATTGCTCATCTACTCTAAACCAAGCCCCATTAGACTTCAGTTCCTCAAATACGCCACACCCACCTTCCTTGCCGCCAAGTATTTCCATATGAAGTTCATGTTGCATACACCATTCTTTCCCATCTCTTCCTTCCTTCAGTGAATAAACATCTCTTTTTCTGAGGGACCCTCCCTGACATGCTGACTAGTGTAGATCAACCTATTTAATGTTCCTAGAAATACCTTTCAACCAGAATGTGTCAAGACTGAGCATGAAAGCTGACATGCTGAGATTAGCCTGTTGGAAGGAAAGAAAGGACCCAGGTCTGCTTAGCTCCAAACTGTTATATTAGCAGTAAATGTACTTAGGGCTTAAGCCAGATGTTGACAAACTACAACCCTTGGGCCAAATCTAGTCAACTGCTTATTTTTGTAATTATATTTTTCCTATTTTATTGGAACACAGCCATGCTGTTCATTTAGTATTATCTATGGCTGCTTTTGTGCCAAAAGGGCAGAGTTCAGCAGTTGCAACAGACATACGGCCCAGAAAGCCTAAATTATTTACTATCTAGCCCTTTACAGAAAACTTTGCTGTCCCTGGTTTAAACTACTATTAGTTAGATTTTGTTACCTACGGCCAAAGCATCCTAACTCATACGATGTTTCCATAGTTTCTTATGGAAACATTCATCTGATTTCACTGTAATTACTTATACAGTCATACCTTGGTTTGCGAACATAATTCGCTCCAGAAACAAACTACTCGTATTGCAAGACATGATTCATTTACCAAGTTAAAATCTATTAGAAATGTTTGCTCGTCTTGTGTTCAGAACACTCACAAACCAAGTTACTTGCAATCCAAGATTTTACTCTATATCTTCCCTTCTATTTATGTTGATGTTTGCCACCTGCATGAAATTCCCAAGTAGGACTGGCCTACCATTACGTCCCCAATTACCCAAAATCATAGTTGATAAACAGAAGGCATTTAAATACTGTTGACTGAACAAGTGAACGAATGAATGAGCATATCTGATTAATAATCAGTAAGTATTTACTAAAAACAAACATGTACATTAGGTACTCTGAGTAATACAAGAATATAAAGACACATTCTCTGCCCTGAATGGCTCAGGTTTAAGAAATAAACCCATATGGTTTAGGAAAAAAAAAAAGATAAATTATTTTTGGAGTAAAGCAGGGTGCATCTGTACATATATATACCGGGGTGCCAAAAAATAGTATACACATGATTTGTATTCATCTTTTGTTATCAGTATATATTGAGTATTACAATTTTAATACAGTATTTTTGGCACCCTCTGTAAATACTACCATATTAAATATATACACTAACCCCAAAAAAATCCTGACTTCAGGTCATACCAAAAAGGTACGAATTTGCGTGTCCTCAGCACTAAACCAGGAAAGAGGGCACCCTAACATAGCACCACCCGGGACTAAGGTCCACTAAAACCGTGGAAGTGACTGAATCAGGCTACTCAGAGCTTTTTGGCATCAGTACCCAGGGCCCTTCAACTGACCTTTCTTTTTTTTAACCTTGTTCTCTGCCTTTGCTGACATGGAGGAAATAGTGACAAATACAACATGATTATCTTGTGAACCTGTCATCCAGAAATCAGCCTCTTGAACATAATCAGCTGAGTGATGAAAGAGTCTAACCTATAAAGCTGGCCCAGACCTTTGAGATTAGTGTCACCTTCTGAGAGCCTTTCCTGAAACCACCTGACCTCCACTGTTTTATTCATATTCTCATTTCTCTTACCTTTAAAATCCCCAAAATAATACTTTATGGAATGTGAATTTTACATCAACTGTTCAAATATTATTCTAAAAAATTAAAAGTTAGTGAGGTAGAAAGCAAAAATTTAATGATCAGTAAAAATCATAGTCATATTTCTCATTGCCATGCAATAGCTAAAGTAGAAACTCAAAGAAGGAAACTAAGGAACAAGCAGCAAGGCAGTTCCTTGATATAATTTATTCATCCTTTTGGTCCATATTTTTCAGGCTCAGAAACTTACTCTGCGTCCTCTCTTCAAACCTATCACCCTCCCGAATCTCTCCCTTTATCAACAGATATCCCCCATGCCCTCTCTGATCCTCAGTCCATTCTATCAACTCTGGCTAACTCAGTCTCCCTATCCTTATAGCCAGATATCCAAACCTATCTCTTCTCCTGTAACATTCAACAACCTATAAAACGAGAAGAGGGCAGAACTCAGAATTTTGCAGGATCACAACCACTCAATTTGTGTTAATGGTTGTGGGGTAATCAGAAAAAGGAAAGTTACATAATAATGTTAATCTTCTTCCAAAATCCACCACAAATTTATCACTTCAATGAAGATGTAAAAACCAATAATCTAGGCAGGTTTATATAATATCACTGTAAATCTAGAAATAAAAAAATAAACACAGAGACAACTGGGAAAAAAATGAGAGAAGAGTTCATATCATTTAATAAACTTAATTCTTCATAGAATCAAGATCTCAAGGAACCATATCCTAGATCCTGGTAAGCTCCTCAATTTAACACTGAAAGCTGATTTATACATTAAAGATAAACACTTTTCATTAAAGCATTAAAGTGAATATATATAAAGGTGTTGAAAGACTGACAAAAGGGGGTAAATTCCAAGATATACTACTTCATTAAGTAAAAGACCCCAATGTCAGTTTTGAGTAAAACAAACCAGAAGCTATAATTTAAGCTACTAATCAATATTTTGTTTCGTTTTAACATCTTTTAACTTAATAAACAGTTATGAATGGATTTCACCCTCAAAATGGATAGAGCTAGAATAATTGTATCAGTAAAATCAATTCCAGAAAAAATAAATTCTGGGTCTCGTGTACATATACACTCTAACATACACAAGTCTCTTAGTATTGACCAAATCCCCATTCCAAATTGAAAGAAGACTAACCAATAGTAAATAACATGGTAAACATTTGAGGTAACTATTTTGATTTATCCTTTCTTCTTAATCTACTATATCCTCCTCTTTTTTCTGTCTATGAAAAACTTCCGAGAATGCAAATTTAATTTGAATACTGCCATGGAATCACTGAGTCATCACTGCTTAAGATTGCTTCAACTTACCCACGTTTGATGTTGTGTAATTCCTTGTCCTTGCCTTTATCCTTCTCCTTTTCTCTTTTCTCCTTATCTCTGCCTTTACGTCGTTCTCTATCCCGAGATCGACTACGGGTTCTTCTGTGACTGGACCTTTCACTGCTTCGACTATGGGAACGTGGACGAGGTCTTGACCGAGACCTATAATAAGTAGATTTTATTATATACATTTAGTGTATGTTTTGTACTATAAAATAAAAATATGCTTAAAAAGTAACTGAAAGGATTTATTAGTTATGGATTCATTAATAACTGAAGCCAGCATCTAAATAGGATTCTTTACAAATAAGTACTCTCAGTTAAAATGATACATAAGAGATACATATGTTGTCAACTATTTAGAGGAAATTAAGGTTTAATGAAAAGGTGTTTTCAAGTGAAAGTCTTAAAGGTGCAAATCAAGTCTTGATTATTCAAGTCTCCTCAGGTAATATAACAAATCTAAATACATCTACTCTAATATCCAAGGATGGGGTCCTTCCTATCCCTACAATCTCTGCTTCTGTAGATATAGTCAACCTTATTTCTAATTTCTAATTATTACAATAAAACTATTTCTCTACTCTAATCCAGCTATTCTTTGTATTAAACAAATGACAGTATTAAGTAGTATATACTACATGCTTTTAAAAACTAAAATTTTCAAATCCTGTCTTACAGTATTGACAAGAAAGCCTCTACCAGAGTGATGATCCTACAGATAACTATAAAAAACAACTATCTGCAGGCACTGGAGAGTAACAGAAAGAAGGCAGATTCTGCAGGGGGCCAACACTTGGAAAAAGGAAACAGCAATAAGAAAGTTTCCCATATTATCAGCTTCTTTTCTGAGGGAAAGACCAAGTTTGTGCCATGGAGGACAGCTATAACTCCAACAAAAATTTAGGATCTTTGGCATTAAAAACCAGAAGAAAGACTCAGGGCATCCATCGCAACAGGAAAAGGAAAAGGGAGTCCTGGAAAAGACTCAGAGGAGGGAGCTAAAATTTGTTTTGTTTTGTTTTTAGCTGAGCCATCCTGCCACCTGTCGGCAGCTCAGCTCAGGCCTATGTGGGAATCAAACCAGCGACCCTGTTGCTCAGAGCTCGCACTCTTGAGCCAGCTCTTAACCAACTAAGCCATTCAGCCAGCCCGAGCTAAAAGTCAATATGTAAACTCTGTTCAAATTTCTGGCTGAGTCCTACATTATGCATGTAAAGGGCAGACTCCAAATAGCTAAGGACTAAAAAATTCAACTAATATTTCAACTGCCCCCCAGAGATAGGATTTTTACAATTTTAATTCAACTAAGTTAACTTCATGATTTAACAAAAAAGTAAACAACAACAAAAATCAGCGTATTCAGAGGAATATAACAGAAACCAGAGTATTCAAAACATTACATTCACCATGTCTAAGATAAAATCCAAAATTACTAGACACACAATGAACATGAAAAATGTGACCCATTCTCAATAGTCACAGGAGACTAAGCCAGATGTTGGAATTGGCAAGCGAGAATTTTAAAGTAGTAAGTATAACTATGCTTGTAATAAATACAAAGCTAAGAAATCTTAGTATATAAAAAAAAATACCCAGAAAATTTTAAAAAACTGAAATTCTATTAAAACAATTTCTGAAAATAAAATTATGCTGAATGAGATTAAAAGCAGATGGGTAACAACAGAAAAGAATCTATACTTCAAAATAAATCAACTGAAATTATCCAATCTGAAGAAATAAGAGGAAAATGACTGCTAATAAGAAAAATGGATCTTGTGAGATCTGGGTGACAATACCAAATGTATAACATGTTTAGTTAAACCCAGAAGTTGAGAAAATAATGAGACGGAAAACAAAATGTTTAACTAGTGGCCAAAATTTCCCCAAAATTTAGTGAAAGATAAATTTATAGATTCTAGAAGTTCAATGAACTCCAACATAAATATAAAGATGATGACTAATAACACCATAGTCAAACTGATGAAACTAAAAGTAAAGAGAAATCTTGAAAGTATTCAGAAAAGAAAAAATAACACATTACAGGTTGGAGAACAATTATATGAATTACTTCTAGTTTTTCATCAGAAACAATTAAGATCAGGGAACAGTGGAAGAAAATTCTTAACATGGTGAAAGAAAAAATAATCAACACAAAATTTTATAGCCACCAAAAATATACCTCAAGAATAAAAGTAAAAGCCGGCCGAGTGGCGCGGTGGTTGAGAGTTGGCTTGGGATGCCAGAGGGCCCCGGTTCAGATCCCACATATGAGGGCCAGTGACACTGCTCTCTACAGCTAAGATGCTGAACAACAGCTCAACCTGGAGCTGGGCTGCCATGAGTCGTTGGCGACGGCAGGTGGGTTGCCATGGGCTACCGTGTGTAGACAGCAGCCAGTGTGAGCGGCCAGCAGCCGCAGTGAGCGGCCATCCAGAAGCCGGCGACTGATGGGCCTCGCCCGGGAAGAGCGCAATGATGGTGCTAACTTGGGCCAGTGAAGCAATGTCCTCCACAACTAGACTGAAGAACAAAAGGACAGCAACTTGTCTGTTCCCCTTCCCCCAATTCCCCAGCGCTGTTCCCATCCCCCAATTCCCCAATAAAAATCTTTAAAAAAAAAAAACAAAAAAGAATAAAGGTACTATAAAGACATTTTTGAGTTAAAGGAAAAGTAAAACATAATCATCAACAGTAGATCGGCATTACAATAAATACTGAAGTACGTTCTTCAGGCTGAAGAAAATGATAACAGATGGAAACTGGGATCTTGAAGAAAGAATGAAAGCCACTAGACATGGTAAATATATGTATAATATAAAAAAAAACACTTCCCCTAAATTATTTTAAAATGTATATGTGCTTAAAGTAAAATTTATAATGTTTTACTGAAGGGTTTATAATGAAGGTAGATATAATACATGTAATCTCCATAGAATAATGTATGGAGCAGGTACATGGATCTATACAGTTATAAGGTTTCTACATTTCATGTGAATGATAAAATGATAAAATGTAAATAAAATGCTAAGGGGACACATGGAATCCTTAGAACAACCACTTAAAGGAAAAAAAAATGGTAACAGGTATAGCCAAAAATCCAAAAGATACACTGAAAGGAAATTCTTAAAAATATTAATTAATCCAAAAGGAAGCTGGAAAGGAAATACAAAAAACAGGGAGACAAACATAAAACAAATAATAAAATGGTAGAGTTAAATCCAAACATATCAACAAGTAAATAAAGGTTTAATGGACTAAATACTTTAATTAAAAAGCAGAGCTTGTCCAAGTGAATTAAAAAGCAACCCATAACTACATGCTGTCTACGAAACTGTACTTTAAATATAGAGCCACAAATAAATTGGAAGTAAATGGCTAAAAACAGATCTATCATACAAACAGTAAATATAGGAAGGACGAAATGAATATATTAGTATCAGATAAACCAGATTTAAGAAACTAAGAGTATCACCCAAAATAAAAATGGATACTTCATGATGATCAAAGGGTCAATTCAGAAGTAAAAATCATACAAAATATGTTTATCTGGCCACCACAGAAATTAAATTAGAATTCAATAACAATAAAACATCTAGAGAAAATACCAAAAATATAAAAATTAAATAATACACTTCTAAACTAATTCATGGGTCAAGTAAGAAATCACAGTAAAACTAAAAAATATTTTTAACTCAATGACAATGAAAATACAATACAGGAGAATCTGTGGGATGCAGCTATGTTTAGCAGGGAAATTTATAGCTTTAACTGTTTATATTAGAAAGGAAGAAAGGTCTAAAATCAATTACCTAAGGTTTCACTTTAAGAAGCTAGAAAAAGAAGAGCAAAGTAAACCCAAAGTAGGTAGAAGGAAGGAAACATTAAAGAGCAAAAATCAATGGAATAGAAAGCAATAAAGAAAATAACAAAGTCAAAATCTGTTACTCTGAGAATACCAACATATTTGGTAAATTCCTAGCTAGACTGATCAAACAAAAAGAAAACAGCAAGCACAAATTACCAAAAATCAAGAATGTCAATGATAGAAAGATCGCATGAACTAGTCCTGGGTATTTAGGACACATGTAGGTCTTTAAGAGAATTACACAGGTTTCAGCAGTAGTAATGTCAGTCCTCTTTCATCCCTGACTGGTCTACACAGTGAAGAAAGAGCAATATTGTATTATAAGATCACAAACTTTTTTTTAATATGTGATTTTGAGAAGTTACAACATTTATTGTTAGGTGCGTCAACATAGACTTATCTTAATTTACAAAAATCAAATTTCTATAATTTTTTCTTTAAGTTTGACTACTCCCTCACTTAATTTTGACATATGACTTCTTTCCACATAAAATAAAGTTTTAACAAACAACATAAACCTCATAGATACAAACAACAGAATGGTGGTTACCAGAGGGGAAGGGGGTGGGGCAGGATGAAGAGGGTAAACGGGGTCAAATATATATGGTGACGGATGGAGACTAGACTTCAGGTGGTAAGCACAAAACAAAGTATACAAATGTCATATTGGGTCATCGGGAAAGTCATGACATATTTTTCTGTTTTTCAATGCAAAAATGCATCACGATTTTCCCGATGACCCAACATTATCAAGCTGTACCCCTAAAAATTTATATAATGTTATTAACCAATGTTATCCCAATAAATTTAAATTTTTTTAATTTATCATGACAATTTATTGCCCCATAGATGCTACCTTATTCATTTCTAATTAAATCCTGTATTATATGTAGATAGATAAAAAATTTAAAAGAGTCTAAAATCATTGAACAATAGTCAGTCAGAATTTAAAGTTTCCTTTAAATTCTGATTAAAACAGATTAATAATAAAAATGAAGTGGGGCCTTTTTTGTGATAACCTCACCCACTATATATAAATTATGTGTAGTTATGTGTGTGTGTGTGTGTGTGTGTGTGTGTGTGTGTGTGTGTGTGTATAGTCTTACATATACAATATATTGCCTTAATTTGCCTCTAAATTGTTTAGGACCAAAAAATAATTCTGGCAATTAGTTTTCATTTACCATATTTTGTCGTGTATAATGCACTTCCATGTAATAATGTGCACCCACGTTTTTGGCCAAAACTTTTAGGGAAAATACCTTTCATTTTAATTTTTTAATTCAAATTTGTA